AATTATATGTACATTGTTGTAGGACATTGCATGGCAAAATGTGTTGCTAGGAAGATGGTGTAAAAATACTTTTGTTTTGTTTACAGTAGTTTATACTCTTTAGTATTTCTTTCCTTTTATCATATTTGTTCATAGAAACTGAGTTATTCTTATGTATTATCAGAGGCATACATCGGTTGGGGCTGCTGTTTGACTTTTCATGTTAAGACATTTAAATTCAAACAGCTTTATTGGCGCTTTTATGCCCAACCTTCGCTCTAATTATATCAGATGAACCAATCACTATTTACAGTCTAGTCATATGCATGGTTTTACCATATTGGTTACATGAATAATTTTTATATTTTTTATATTTCATAAAATTTGTTTTTGATATCATATTGTACATGTGTTCTCTTGTTTGATATTGGCATTTTATATTAAATGCTCATTTTCGACATACAATTTGCGTTGGGTTTTAGTTAGAGCGAACAAGCTCCTGTATGCCTCTTTGTATATCGTTGTTGTAACCGTATTACATTGGCGGGATCATAAAGGTATTTATGTTGAGCATAAATGAATTTATGGTCCCTCAATACTGCCAGGATTGTTGTTATTTTTTTAGCAGGTTTCTTGTTTAGATCGATAGCCGATCAACCAATGAAAAGTCTCCTTTTAGACAACACCTTCATTTAGGGAAAACAAGAAGAGAATTTTTATCCCACGAAAAATTTAATTCGTCGATTTTCCGCTTTCCTCCCCTACCTCCCTCCTTTGAAACCAACACTTTTTATTTGAAAAAGTGTAAATTTGTGTTTTGTTTAAATTTTTCGTCTCATGTTGTTTGTAATTACATGAATTAATCAGTATTTGACAGTCTAGTTGTTTTTATTTCCATGTTTGTGGGCGCTTTTTATGCCCCACCTTCGCACTAATTAAATCAGATGAACCAATCACTATTTACAGTCTAGTCATATGCATGGTTTTACCATATTGGTTACATGAATAATTTTTATATTTTTTATGTTTTATAAAATTTGTTTTTGATATCATATTGTACATGTGTTCTCTTGTTTGATATTGGCATTTTATATTAAATGCTCATTTTCGACATACAATTTGCGTTGGGTTTTATTTAGAGCGAACAAGCTCCTGTATGCCTCTTTGCATATCGTTGTTGTAACCTTATAACATTGGCGGGATCATAATATATCTCTTCTCACTATTTTTGATATGTACCATCTTTGAAAAGAATTTAGTACGACGATAAATTTTCACTTCTTTACTCGTACTCTGAACAAAAAAATTTATTTATTTTGTTAAAAATGTTTACTTCCGTACTCCTAACAACAAAATGATTATATTTTAATTAACCTGTGTATGTTGTTTTGTCACTTTGTCCCAGGTTAGAGTTGTCTTTTTGACACTATTCCTACATCTTTTTTATAACTACCTGTAACGTCTATCTTATATAGGCATCTACGTTTTAATATTGTATTTATATTGTGTCATAGATCAAACTTATTCGTTCAGTGTATGTTTACTTGTCTTTGTTTAAATGTCTTTTTGATCGAGTTAAGCCATTTCACTTGATATTTCATGGTGTGTTTTTTTATTTTGTAATGCTACACTACTGTCTCAGGTTAGGATGAAGGTTGGGCGTCTGTTAAAACGTTTAAACCCGTTGCATTTTTATGCACCTGTCCTAAGTCAGGAGCCTATTGTTCAGTGGTTGTCGTTTGTTGGTGTGTTCCATATATAGATGTTTCTCGTTTCTCGTTTTTTATATAGATTAGACCGTTGGTTTTCCTTTTTGAATTGTTTTACACTAGTCTAGTCATTTTGGGGCCCCTTATAGCTTGCTGTTCGATGTGAGCCAAGGCTCCGTGTTGAAGGTTGTACTTTGACCAATAATTGTCAACTTTTTATACATTGTGACTTGGATGGAGAGTTGTCTCATTGGCACTCATACCACATCTTCTTATTTATATTTTGCGGTTCAATTGGGTTGAAATATATAGAAAACTTCCTGACTAAAGTAATATTCGTGTTTTTTTTCAAATAAACCTTTGGCAATTCAGTTTCTATTGGTACCAAGGTGATTAAATTCCGGCCAGAATTGAGTCTCATAATATGTTTTTAAAATTACGTTGTTTTGTAGGAAATATATGACAAAAAAATGTAGGTGACGAATATTCATTGCATACTGATAACACTGTAAACGTTATCGAAACATGATTTTGCTTCAATTTATCTTTGTGTTTCTTTGTTTGTAATGATGTTTACTTTGTTTAGCTGATGACAGTTTTGATATAACTTCAAATGCATTCAGTAAAGTTGCAGTTAAAACAGAAACCCAGAAGAAATATATCGAATTCAATTTAAGTCATTGAACACACATTTTCAATAGTTGGTTGATTAAAAAGATACTAATTTTAAATGAGGAGATGTGGTATTAATGTTTATTTTAGTATTCTTCTACAAACAAGAAATGATTGTAACAGGATGCTGTTACGAAGTCTCCCAAACGAAGCTCCCATAATTCGTAATTCTCAGGGTCGCCTGACATTAGGCAAAGTCCAGTGAAAATTGGTTTGGTCCAGTAAAGTTATATGCATTAGCGATGCCTGGGGACTAACCCTGTATATCATTCAAATCATCTTGGCATGACAAACCAGAATATATATGGTTTAGGGGTGGGGATCGCGAACATTTACAAGATACTAGAACATTGGGGTGGGGGGAACCCCTGGGGACTGACCCTATACGTCATTCAAATGTTCAAGACATGACGAACAGGAATATAAATGGTTTAGGGGTGGGGATCTCGACCATTTACAAGATATTAGAACATTGGGGATGGGGAAAACCCTGGGGACTGACCGTATACGTCATTCAAATGTTCGAGACATGACGAATAGGAATATATATGGTTTAGCGGTGGGGATCTCGACCATTTACAAGATTTTAGAACTTTTTCAAATGGCAGGGGGTCGGGATGACCCCTGGGGACTAACCCTGTATATCATTCAAACCATCTTAGCATGACAAACCAAAATATATATGGTTTAGGGGTGAGGATCTTGACCACTTACAAGGTATTAGAACTTTCTTAAATGGCAGGGGGTGGGGGTGACCCCTGGGGACTAACCCTGTATTTCATTTAATGGGCTTTATCATTTAGAACATTTTCAGTTAAAAAGATTGTGCCTATCACAAACGGTTTTCAATTTATAATCATTTGAAAATTTTAAAAAATAAAATCCCATAGGGTTCTATAGTAAAACCCTCTTTTCTTTTTGCCCCTCAAAGTACCCCTTTATAAACCCCATTGCACAAACAAAACCCTGATTGCACCACTAGACATGTTAGTCTAACATATTGTGAAACCCTAAGTTAATCTGACAAGCTGTTTTGGAGAACGGGTGCTGACAAGTTCAAATTTAAAAGCGGCGGAAGAGGAATAATAATAATAATAATAATAATAATAATAAGAACTGAGCAAAAACAATAAGTCTTCCCAAACTTCGTTTTGGAGACTTAAATATAAACACGACATAATTTTTGTGAACACAAAGAATTTCATTTACATGTACCAAGCTAACAGGTGCTCATGCTTGCCAAAAGTTAAGGTAAGAAAAATAGAGAAATTATTCTAAAAGAGGGACGAAAGATACCAGAGGGACAGTCAAAATCATAGATCGAAAACAAACTGACAACGCCATGGCCAAAAATAAAAAGACAAACAGACAAACAACAGCACAGACGACACAACACAGTTATAACATGTTTGTTTGTCGCACAAATACTTTCGTCAACTCTAAAGAGAACAGTAAATAAAAATAAGCAATTGGCGACGAGTCTATATCTATCTTATTGGTCTTCTCGGTTTGAAATTAAATTGTATTTCTTCTTAATCTTCTGGTGGCAAAACCCAAAATCACCGAGGTGGAATAGAGTTGACGCCGTCTGCCTTCCAAATCCTGCACTCTAGCATTATGACGTATTGTTTATTATTGCGTAACGTCAAAATTCCGTTGGCCTTTGGGCCTCACCCGTGGCACTCAAAGGTAGTGTTTTTGGATAGGCCGGATAGGCCGTATGGCAGAGAAAAGGTTAAAATGAAAAAAAATTTAATCATTACAAAATGAATTGGGGTATGCATTGTTCCTTTTGTCAATCTGCAAAAGTACACCTGTTCATTATAAAGATGCTGTATCAAACTTGCTTTAGAATAAACAACAATTTTGTTTCAAATGAGATAATATGGGATTAATATCAATGAGAAAATATCATATAATAAGATGATATTGCGTAACATTTTGCACTTTGCATTGAAACAACCTAAACCGACGCAATCCTATGTTTTAATGCAAGACATGCTACATTTCGTACAACAATTTCTTACAATTACCCACTGTTTTTTAAAAGTTTTAATTTCAGGAATAAACAAAATAAACCAACAGCTGCTGCTTCCTGAAGTAGCGAGCATATTTTTACCCTGCTTTCAAAATGCCTGTTTTATTTGCTATTTGTATAAGTTGTCACCCTACTGATAGCTGAAATGTGAAGGTTTCTATTGCGTGCTTTAGTTTTATGACATAAGGTCTAGCTAGGCAAAAACTGGTTTAACCTCTACGCAAAAGAAATGCTGTAAAATCAGTACATGAAAAGCACTTCACTCCAAATTAACGAAATGATTGGTAAAAAAAAAACCAATTACAAGCTTAAAAGGAAAAACAAAACAAGACTGTTCGCAGTTAACATGGTTAAAAACAAGCTCAAAGTACTTAACCTGCTTATATGAAATCGTACCGTCCTATACTCTAATACCGTCGCTGTACTTGAATTCATATCCCATGCACTGGCATGCAGTAACTATGCAATGACAAGAATGATTAAATACAAAATCAAAAATCAAAAAATAACTAGATATATATTGCTATATATGAGAGATGTATCATACCCGACTTTATTGTTAATCAAAATGAAAGGAGTCTAAAGGACAACAATATACCAGACTAGATTCTATACTATATTAACACGCTCTTGATCACCCCAATTCTTTACAAGTTGCGAATGAATTCATTGGTAATTTTTAAATGAAATTCTAAACATAACATCAAGTAAAAATATGATTGATAAATTTATTAGGATTTTCAACAGAAAAAAATACAAAGCCAGTGGCTATTACAATTAATGTTGTTCACATTAACACTAAAATAACATAAAAGAAAATTGTTACATGAAAAACACATTAAAAGTACATTACGAATGTATGTATAAGATTACGTTAAAAAAAACCCACATAAAACGTATATTACTTTAAACGTAATTTGAGGTCTTTGTTAAATTCCATTGTATCAATTAATACTTAAGTTAAAGCTTATATCAGCCAAATGGACAATAGCGAATTTAAGCAATGCATCTTGTGATGTTATCTTAAAACTTTCCGGTACGTCACTGGACGATAAGAAAACACCAATGAATCTGATTGAATCTTAATTGATTTTCTTTCCCGCATGCATCGGAGTATTATATTGACAAGAGAGTACTTCCATGTTTGTAGCAAGCAAAAGTAGCTGTCGAACATGATCTATTTAAAACAAATATTCAAAAATATAACAAACTCCAGTCTGACTTCGCGCAAATTCAAAACATTCCTATTTAAAATTTGTTACTTTGCAATGTCTGGTGTCATATATTACACATGTTACATCCATAGTTGCTAATATTAACGTCTTTTAGTCTCTTTATGAATAGTGTTATACCACGTCTCCTTGTATTCAAATTATTAAGTATCGATCACCATACAATCTATAATTTTGTATATACTTGTCATCATTTATGATAGTTTTGAGTATTAAAATCAATTACATGTTAAAATGCAAGACATGCTAAAATGAGCGACAATTCTTTCATGCAGTCAACTGGTTTGATATCGGTTGTGATGACAATGAATTAGACCAATGACGAATACAATGATAATGATATAGTATAAATTTATTAGTTTTGGTGCACTCAACACGTGGCTTAGGAATTAATATCTTCTGGTTGGTCCAAGGACATGATGTTTGAAAAGCAAGGTAAGTATGCATATTAAATTATGCTGCCAACTGGTTTTCATGAAAGGCGCGCAATGACATATATATTTTATCCTCAGGTTAAAAGGAATGAAAAATATCAACCTAAGGTCATACAATTGCAGACCGAATATGATATGACGATAACCAAGGTTTATTGCTCAAACATGAATTTAAGCCAGAAAATAGAATTTGATCTCAGGTCAAAATTCAAGGTCAAAAAATGATTTTAAAAGGGAACAGGACGCATTGACAAAAGTGACAATATCATTAATCTAAGTATAGAACAAATTAGGGACACGATTCTAGATTTCATTCGGAAACTAAAAATGTTCTCAAATGTGTGTCTATTCATAGTTGTTTTGACTTTTGACTTTGTTCTTGTGACATTTTAATCAAGAGTCGTATTTTATTTTGTGTGATAATTTGATGCTCAGACACCATTAATCATACCCTAAGCATAATGGAATACGCAAAACATGTGCATAATGTTTTATAATGTTTTCGAAAAATCTGAATTGGATAGTTAGTAATCAAAATGAAAATAAAAAAAAGAGGTAGAAGATACCATGAGAACATTTAAAGCTCATTAGTCGAAGAGATAACGACATCACTGTTAGAAAACTAAAAACTGAGCAACACGAACACCATGAAAGACTGGGGTAATCTCATGTGCTCTGGAAAGGTAAGCACATCCTGATTTCAATTAATTTCAAAACCTTTTATGGAAAGGGCAGTAATTATTTATAACGTGTAACTATTCATCAGTTTAGAGTTGTTATTTAAAACATACGATTGTCAAAAATTGAATTATCAAAGTACACATCTATGTGTATGCTTTATTTAACTGATATAAATTGGTCTCCCACTTTGAACAACCGAACGGGAAGTTAATTACATATTTATAAGCGCACGTGTAATAAATAAATGGACTTTGTTTTTCGTAAATTGTTTTGTTATAAATTAAGCCGTTAGTTTTCTCAATTGAATTATTTCATATTTTTCATGTCGGGGACTTTTATAGCCGACTATACGGTATGGGGTTTTCTCATTGTTAAAGGCCGTACTGTTGCCTATAATTGCTCAAATCCATTTCATTTGAACTTTGGTGGATAGTTGTCTCATTGGCAATCATACCACATCTCCTTATTTTTATTTTGAAGTGTAAATAAAGCACAGGTGCTGGCTGACTGAATTTAACAAAATGCAAAAGATGTTTTTTTATGTGGAAATGTGTATATTGTAATTATCTATACCCTACTAACTGCAATTGTGTAAACATATATAGCCAATAGTAAACATGATAAAAGTCAGACGTCCGATAATACCGTCAACTGTCAACATATCGGACACACAGAGTGAATATGTGGTGCAAATACAAAATGTGAAGTGTGTAACTTAGTTTTGGCTGCCTTGTTGTCATTAACCACGATTTATAACCTATATAATAATTATTAACAGATAATTTATGTAAATTTTACAAAAAAACTTTATTCATAACATCCGGTTACAAAGAATACTTAATATGGTTCTGTTTTTGTATGTTTATAAAGCTTTTCAAGTATTTACAAACCTTAAGTCTCCCAAATTTTATCTATTTTCTAAATGATGTATAATCCAAAAAGATCCTCGAAGAGAAATTTTGAATGTTGAAGTGTCAAAGAAACCAAATATTGAAGGTACAAGAAAAGTAAACTTTCAAACGAAACAAAGCAGCAAAATCCAAAAGTTTGAAATTGATATAAGCCTATATTATCCTCTGAATATTAAGATATGTACAACTTGTTAATGATATACTTAAACCTCCACTTCAGTGGCATCATTTGCAGTGGAAAAACAATACTAAATGACTGACTACCATGATTATACAAAAAGACCTCTCTCATATTACATGTCATGAACACTAAGTAATAAAAAAGAAAGATTATAAACTAGTATTCATAAAATTAAAAATATCGCGGCGCCTGGATCTGTATGATGTATCCTTCACATAAAGTTCATTTCACAGTTTGACAAAAGACTAAATCGGTCATCATTTTATATGACCTTGAAGAGTACTAAACAACATTCACGTCAAATTTGCGCGAATCCTTCTTTCCTCTCCCTTCATTTCTTCGTTTTTTCTTTTCGTTCTGCGGTTTGTATTCTAATTCAACTATATCGTTGTGTGGTTCCGCAATATCGGTCTGAAACATTAAAAAAGATTGATATGATAAGAAACGAATGATAGATAGTAACTCGCGGAAAGAGGTAGATTATCTGTAAACTCTAAAGAGACTGTACCAGTCACCTGATTATTTATTCTATTTAAGATTTAGGTTAACAACGTAGTCATTGGACATATTGTTTTAAGTTGACCTCGAGTGATCATGAAGTTCAAGTTTCCAATTGACCCTGTCAATTCAGCGGAAATGAGTACTGAACTAAAATTATGGTAGTTGCAGTCGAAAATTTTATTCTTAACAATTTTGGCAGCAATTTATGGAATTGGATTGAGTGATCTATTACATATTTTAAAGTCAACCATCAATGAATTATTGAACTAATGATACTCCCACCCTAATGAGTGCTAGATTGCAATCATCTTGTCCGTCCGTTCCTCTGATCGTCGGCTCGTTCGTTTAACAAATATTTTAATCACACTTTTCCAAAGTACTACTGTGCAGAATGTAAGTAGCTTTGACGATGAGTTGTAATGTCCGAAGACTTTTTGGATCTGTCAGAAACATACTTCTTGTTTGCCGATACTTTGGATTTTTCACACGTTGAATGCACTTAATATTTTCGTCACTGGTGAGCTTTTACCCCGACACATTCTGTAGGTGCCTGTCCAAATTCAGGAGCCTGTAATTCAGTGGGTGATGTTTGTAGCTGTATACCATATTTGTTTTTCGTTTATTGCTTTGTACATAAATCAGGCCGTTTGTTTTCTCGTTAGAATTGTTTTACAATCATCAGTTCGGGGCCTTCTATAGTTGACATGTTTGTGGTATGGGTTTTGATCATTGTTGAAGGCCGTACAGTGACCTATAGTTGTTAACTTCTACGTTGTTTGGTGTCTGGTGGAGAGTTGTCCAATTGGCAATGATACCACATCTCCTAATTTTATATCAAAACATTTTGATATGGCTTTTAGACTCTGTAGCTTTAAAAAAAAATAAACCATTCGAGTAAAATTAATCGTAAGTTATACTGAACTGCTCCGAGTGATTGTTATGATAATACATAAACCAGGTTTAACGGTCAAAGTACAATACCTTTTTCGATAAATGACCATATAAATACGGTGATGAAGATGTAGATATGAGAAACGAATGACACATTTGATAAATCTATTAACATAGAGCTAAATAAAACAGACACATTCAGATGTATGTTTTTAGACTCCGATGAGGTCTGTCGGACATATGATGGCAAATAAGTAGCATTCACAAGGTGTCATAATGCTCAAATAAGTAAAACAAAATCAAACTCTGATGAGGGCTGTCGTACATATGATGGCAAATAAGTAGCATTCACAACGTGCCATATGATAAAATAAGTAAAAAAAAATCAATCCAAAAAAATGCTTTAGACTCTGATGAGGGCTGTCGTACATAATGATCGCAAATAAATAGCATTCACAATGTGTCATATTGCTCAAATAAGTAAAAAAAAATAGTCATTCTAAAAAAATGTTTTCCACATCATCTTGTGTTATATAGCATAGTCAATTACACATCCTGACAAACAATCTTACCAAGTATGAAAGCTTTAAGGCAAACGGTATCTGAAGAGTAAAGATAGACAGACAATTTTTTTTTCTATGTTCCTCATTCGTGATCCGACAGAAGACAAATACAATGTCGTTGGAAGTCTATTTCACGAAAATCTTTTCGATAATTTTGAACTCAATAAAACATGTGAAGACCTTTTAATATATTCTTGAGATATAAACATAATGGTATCAGTTCGTTTCATGGCAATTGGAAGCTCTTATAATTAAGACATATCATGCATAGAAAATGGTCAAATGTAAAAAGAATACACAATATGCTAACTGGTGAAACGCTAACATAGAAAACTAACTCTTCTAATGATAATATTATAGGTAACACAACCAAAAGCTTTTTAAAGTCGGTAGCCATACATTAAAAAAAAAATGAAACTACAGTCATATATTAAAAGAAATTATCTGTTAAACCATGTTATATTAAATATTCATGCAAATGCATATTGCCTTTTTTCATTATTTATCGAGAGAATTGCATTAGAAGCTTGTTATACTGATATTTTTTTAAATGTTATTCTTAGCTGTATTTCGATAAACAAAAAGTTAAAAAAAAATAACTCGTGAACATACAAAAGCTAGCTCTTTCTTATACCAATTTTTAGAGTGTTAAACATAGACCCTAACATGGAATAATTTTCCAAAATCTACTTATTTTCTTCAACTAAGATTTAGAGCAGGCTGGTGTGTTCATTATCAACTATCCATTCAATATACACATATTGTCTTTTAATTATGATAAAGATTCATATGTCATGTCAGTTTATGTTGAAAAATTTAAGGGAAAAAAATTTAAGGGAAAATAATTTTGTATAAAATGATTATCAGTTATAATGTTTTACCTCAGCAAATACAAGAAAAAATTAGACATTTCAATATTATTTTACAATTATTCAGTTATTATTTTTAATTAAATAATGACTACTTTTGATTGTCTTTTATTAAACAAACACTACAATATAAAGCGTTTTATTAACTGTTTTAAATATCTTCAAAATAACGTCGGACAATCGCAACTCTTTAAATTGCAAAAGTAACCTTAAAATCAAGATTGTCATGTCACAACGTTTTACCAGGCAGGTATATGTACTTCAGTATGCAATGTAAATAACAATGTTCGAGTAATAATGAAATATGGTTATACTAAGTTATTATAAGTTAATACTGAAATGTATAGCTCAGTCAAGACAACTAAAAATTTTGGACTATCTATTTTTCCTAAAAATAAAATAAATATAATTGTCAATTGACAGTTTATGCATAAATAGAACATCGACAGAATGAAAGTAAATGTCTGTCCACAATATCATTCACAGTAAAACACAAAAACACAAAAACACAAATATGAATAAAAGGAGATGTCCTAATGATGCATACAATGTAAAATAATATGTTACATACCTTAAGCTTTACACTGGATAATTCTTTCACGCTGTCTCTTAATTTAGATTTAAGCTGTACAAGTTGTTGCAACTTTTTCTTTACAGCTTTTGTTGTCTTCCATTGTTTTGATTTTATCATATCAGATAAATCTGTGTTACATTCCTCAAAACGTGTAAGCAGTTCGCTTATTCTGATTTCATCTTCCCCATACCTTTCACTTATATCGCCGGAAGACAATTCGTATTTTGTTATGAACAGACGAACTTTTTCTAGACCGGGTTTTATATACTTCTTATAATCTTCATAAAATATCTGTACCTCATTCATTTTTGTCTCATGAGAAAGGGATACGGCATGTTCTTCGAATGATTGCAATGTCAATTGTGCTTGATCATCAGAGGTCGATGACAAAGACCTTACAAAATGTTTATTCTCCTCTGATTCCAACGAAATTGATCTCTGTGACATATTTCGAAGGGAATGACTTGAAGTGAAATCGACAAGTTGTTCATTCAGTATGCGAGATTGAGCTTTTGCTGATGTTGCTTCTGGTAAATGTTCCTCCGTTGTGGAAGACAGAGACCTTGCTACTGATTTCAAACTCACTGATACTGTTGATGATGAAGGACTGTCAGGAACACGCTCAAGATTTGTATTTATTCCAGCACCGTCTCCTGCCTCGTCGTCACCGATACCTTCAAAAGTACAGCCACAAACATCACAGACTGCTTCATTTACAGATACGATAGAAAACAAGGGATCCTCTAAAAATTCGTCATACCCAACATTAACTTTAGAATGAAGGTTTTCCTTAGCCTGCAATGACTGCAAACTGAAATGTTCATTTTTTTTCTTTTCAACAGTAAGATGAACTTCACGAACTGTTCTGATTTCTTCCTCGTCGATTTCAATTTCTGGTTGTATTGTTTGGATTTCTTCGTTTGTCTCTCTAGCAGACAAAGTGGGATCTGATAAAATTCTTATAGTTTGTGGAAGGAAAAAACTCCCTCTAGTATTAAATACAGACTCAATTTGTTCTTTTGAAATACATTTCTTTTGATTATCCCATGCATATTTTATCAAGCTATCCCCTTTTTGCTTTAAAAAATTGTTTACACAAATGCAGATATCTGCTATGCCAGAGGAAGTCTGTATTCCATGTATAGCTTCAGAAATGTTTTTGGGATATTTTTCATTACATCTTAAAAGCGCAAATTCCTTAAGAAGAAATGGTTCCAGGTTGTATGACATGCTTTCTCCCATATTAATGATGTATACCATACTCAATGATATAACATCTTCAGCCATGTCAATTATTGACGACAGAGCTTCATCGTCTTTCATTAATTGTTCGGACGAATTCTGTAATTGGAGATATTCATCAAGACGTCTAAAAACTATACTTATGATATTGATATTTCCTCTAATTCCGGCCAATATCTCGATATTTTTTTCTAAAAGAACTGATATATCGCCACTTATTGACACTACTTTGCATGCGCAAATTATTGCTTCAGTTGTCCATGTTTTTGAATGAAAAACACTTCGCTCGACGAATTTTGAAGTAATGATATATGACGATGGAATAACAAAATTACATTTCTTTCCGCAAAATTTCGATTGCATACTAAGACCAACTAAAGTGAAATATCTAACCCATATTAAAAGTAATGTCAATTCTGGTATTGTTTCCTCTGTTTGTTGTATATTCATCCTCCCAATAAAAATACTAAACTTTTTCAAGGCTTTGGATGGATTGTGGTGAAACTTTAAACAATCAAGACTTTCCTTAAAAGAACGAACAACGGACAACGCAAATGGATATTGTACATTTGTTTTTGAGATGAAGCCACAACTATAAGCTTTCTGTCGACTTAAAGTATTTTTCTTCCTCTCCTGCAAGACTGTACTCTCGAGATTTGTCAGACTGTCATTCACATTCTGTTGAAGACCAAATATCTTTTTGAAGAAAATTAATTCGAACATTCGAGCGACACTTTTCTGTCTCTTTTTAGAAGATTCCAATTCCAATTTAAAGTAAATTTCCATTTGGGATCGTACATCATTCAAGGTTTCGAACAAGTCTGATTTTGTATTACTGATATGCGGTACAGTATGAATCAAATCTTCCATTAGTCTTCTGCATTTGAAAAATTGAAAACTTCTTTGTTCAGACTGATTCAAAATAAGGTTTTGCTCCCTGTTCAGATCTAGCTTTGTATTACACTCATTTAAAATTTGTTCCAGCTTAACATTGTGCATGTCCAAACGAATGAGCTGCAAAAATTCACTATGAGTGAAAGAAACTTTAGGTATACTGACTTTCGGAGACCTATCTCTAAAGTTTTGTGATTTTACAGTCGGTTTAGACAATGTTTTCAGTTTTTGTCGTTCTTCCTCAATTGTTTTTCTTATTCTACAAAACCATACTTTGCATTTTGTTAAAAGGTCTCCAACAATCATTTCATGAATAGCAGGTATATCATCAACTACTGTTTTAACAGTTTTGCGAGTTATTGAATCTCGAACATTTATCAGAACTTCAAGAATACGAGGTTTGTAAATAGGGTTGTAAAAAGAAGTCCCTATTTCAGTTTCTATTCCATAATCCCTCAAAAACTGATCCTTTATCCGTTCTGTGAAATTTGTTGAAGGTTTTGATGGGACTAAGATTGAAAAGATTTTAAAGAAGTTTTCCATTCCTATCACAACTTTGGATAAGTTGGAGTCTATTTTTAAGTTGGAATTATTGATCATCCAACTAAGACACTCCAATTTTCCTACTTCATTTGAATGCGGCTTTCTTTTGACAAAGCAATTGAAAGCAGTTCCAATAAATCTTTGCTGGCCAGTTAGCCTTGCAAGAAGCATGTTTGATTTACCGATATCGTCAGTTATTTCTCCATAATTGCATTTCCGGTCCCTGTACTTGTTTCGGCATTTATTGAAGTAATTAATTGCTTCTTCTAACTGTACTGTCATCTCCTTCAGACTCGTACTGTAAGTACATATAGCACTTCCATCAGGTCTAATGGAAATGTTTATGAGAGAATCTAAATATAAACATCTGCCTATCATATATGTTTCTTTGTCTTTTCTAAACAACGGAAGTGCTTCCTGTGTATAACCGTAGTCAACATATAGACTAGCCGCTTTTCTTGTCTGTCCTAGAAGTAATTGAAATGCTATTTGAAATAGTTTCATCAACAGATATATCATAGCTATCAATCAAAATTATAAGTTTGTGGTCAAACATTCACGTCAGTGATTTAAATTATCGATATGGTCTTATTGTAATTTAAATACTTTTTACTCTAACACGTTTTGCATTCAATACATTATATTGTAAATTGAAAAGTTCATGTATATCACTTAGTTTCAATGGTCTAGGCTCCTTTTGCTAAGCATTTACTTTATACAAGCATCAATTTTTGTTTTTTGTTGCAATCATTAGTATTTTGTTTTAAGAAATAATGCATAAAATAGACTTTCAATTAATCTCATCTTATACAAGTTCATAATGCTACACATGCACAACCAAATATTCTTAGCTCGTCAATGGTGTTATTATTGAAGTTGGGTTATTTGCATTTAAGGTAGATAGGGTGTCTTCCTCCATCTTGAATTTTGAAATACAAGAAAACAATCGGTCTAGATCTTTAATAAAAGGTGCAAATTTTGAGAGTAGTAGGTAATTCATGTGTAAGAATTTTCATTTCAATAGAGAAAATGACATATTTTATCATATTTATGGTTGTATTTTACAGAAAAACAGAATACTTTTGTTTGATTCTATTTTTTCCAACTTTGCAACATAAGGGGAGGCAACTCAAATGTAAGGGCAGATAATTCAGATAAAGTTACTTTTACAAAAGAATGTGTTAGGAATTTACCTATTTTATTATGTAGCAAGAAAACGGGTCCCGTGACCCCATTTTTTCTTTTTCTTATCTGAAAGCATACTATTAGAGCTATCTTCTCATATTTTATCTCAAAATTCTATGGTGTAGTTTTTGTTTTATTGCAGAAAATTGGGTTTTCCATGCATAATCTATACAAAATCTGTCAATTTTGCACAACCTGTAGCATGAAAATAAGCTCCGTGACCTATTCTTTTTATTATTTTTTTTTAAAAAGCATGATATAAACTACATTTTGACAAATTATTAAAAAATTCTATGGATTATAATTTAGACACCCCATCTACCTTAATAATAAATAAATAAAAACATAATGTCCGATAAATAATGAGCTGGCTATCTGTAGTAGTAGTTCAACTTGGAAACAAAATATTCAGGGACATAAAGGAAAACAAATAGTCCATGAACCTCTGTAACTCGATCGGTCAATGTATGTGTTATGTAAACAAACAGTTGTTTCGTATGTAACTAATATTCATATCTATAAAAGTTAAAAGTTGTTAAACAAATTTGCGTACTTTGGTACGTTTTACAAATGTCGTAGCTTCAATCCCGTCCCCTTTTCCGCGAATGTGACCTACCGAATTATACGTATTACCAGGTTTCTACTAACATGAGCAACACAACGGATGCCACATGTGGAGCAGGATCTGCTTACCCTTCCGGAGCACCTGAAATCACCCTTAGTTTTTGGTGGGGTTCGTGTTGCTCAGTCTTTAGTTTTCTATATTGTGTTTTGTGTATTACTGTTTGTTGGTCTTTTCCTTTTTTAGCCATGGCGTTGTCAGTTTATTTTCGACTTACGAGTTTGAATGTCCCTTTGGTATCGTTCGCCTCTCTTTTAATGAGACTGGTTATTATGATATTTCTATACGGTTTAACAATTGGAATTCAGTAATGTACTGTTTGACAAAACTAGAAGGTTCCAATAATGGCTGGTTTAGAAAACGGAACTTGATATTTACCATTTTCCAAATAAATAGATGCTGCAAGCTTTATATAATCATTTTCACCATCGAATCTTTTTTTCAGGAACTTCACCCTGAAAGGAATATCACGAATTCTATTCAAAGCTTTTTTCATTTCGTTGCGGTCTTTTTGTGTATGATAATACTCAGCTGCATTTCTATTTATTTGGTCCTCAGTTTGATTATCACGTAGTTTTGGTTTTTCCGGGTCAGGGTTTTCCTGAAACATAAAAAAAGTAGCTAGAAGTGTGCATAGATGGACAGTTGTACGAACTTAAAACAATTCCGCATTTAAATGTGAGAATGTGATATACACCTTTAATCTCGTCAGATGATTTTATTGATTAATTAATGTTTAATGCCACTTTCAGCAATAATGTGCTATTTTGTGGCGGTCAGTTTTTATTGGTGGAGGAAGCCGGAGTGCCTGGAGAAAACCACTGACAACCTCATTGTTGACAGGCTAGTGATACAGTAGTTGGACTACTTACACCACTTGGCCACCGATGCCCCTAATCGTTAGATGAAAACAAACACTTATAGAAAAAGAAAAGCATGTTGACGTGTTTTATCTTTTTAACATTACTATTCAAAATATATTTGGATTAGTTTGCAATCATAAGAAGTTTTTTTTTCCGAAGTGGACACTGCCTCAGTGGTCTCTTGGTAGCGGTCCCGCCTAGAGTGCGTGATGTAGTCGGTGTGATGCCCGGCCGTGTAAAAGCAAAAACTTGAAAATTGGTAATTGCTGCTATTCTGCTTCACACACGTCATTTATGAGTTATAGCAAAAGACTGATCGACTCGGAGTTCGAACAATGTTACCTTGTGATCGAGCAAGTTAAAAATCCAACTCAGCGTGCTGGTTAAGTTGTATTTTATTTTATTTTAATTGTTTGCGGCATATTTTGTGAATCTAGTTATATCTGTAAAATTAAGCTGTGTATTCCTATATCTATTTGTTATTTTGTAATCTATGTGTGAAGAGAGGGACAGATGTACAAACTGTTTATTTGAATTTGATATACACTTTTAAAACTCGTTAGATGAATAGCAACTCTCGGAGAAAAGAAAAGCATTTTGATGTGTTCTCTTTTATGCATTACTATTAAGATATATAAACATAAGTTTGAAATCATTTAGAATAATTCTTCTTATTTGAGACTGCCTATGTAGTCTCGTGAAAGCGGGCTCGCCATAAGTGGTACATTTGTAGATTACGTGGAAACGACCCCGGTCGTGTCAAACTCAAGACTTGAAAATTGGTTTTGCAGCTTCTCTGCTATTGTTTATAGACAATATAAGTATGTTTTTGCCATACAAAATGTATTTACATAATCCAATCTTCTAAAAATCATAAAGATTTTTTTTTTTTTTTAAATAATAAAATTCGTTTGAAACATTTAACAAGATAAAGGGATAGCGATGTTGTATTCAAGCGTGAAATTTAACTTATCACAGGCCTGTATTAAATATGTTGCTTCTCACCTGTATCGTTTTTTGATATTTGTTTAATGAATGAATAGCTTTTTCAAACTGTTTGTTTTCAAGAAGTACATCAATGGATTTTTCGAAACGTCCAGCAAGTTCGTAATATTCGCAACTTGCCAGTGGTTTATTTGTTCTTCTATACATTTCAGCTGCTTTTTCAAACTATTTAAATAAAAGAAGGTGCATACATTAATAACATGACTTAGTGACAATATAATATATTGAACGAAAATAAAAAAATATCATTTTATGAAAATGACTTTCTCATGCTGATTTATTTGGGTTTCTATTTGATGTGACATCTCTATTCCTTTCCTCTTTGATATAAAAACTTGAGCTCATAAGAGACTAACTATCTCTCTTAGCTATCATTTAATGCAGTGATAATTATGAATGGCATATAAAGATCTGAGAAAATTATGAAGGGAATATTTGTTGGACAAACGAACGGACGAACGGACGAAGAAGGTGAATGCAATAGATCCCCACTTGCGATCCACTACATAGCGATATGAAAAATGAGATGTGAGGTAAATTCAATTGAGAGAGCACCAGAACTACTTTAAAATCCCCAAATACATCTAGAGTTCACTATGTATATGCAACCATTAAAATTCATTTCTAATAGGTTTAAATTTTACAATAGGCTGTGAAATGTTGAAATTGTATTTAAGATTTAGAATAGAAACGCAAATTGAAAGAGCAAACAAATATGAAATTAAACTTACTCGTTGTAATGTTAAATAAGTTGCACTTGATGATATTTGCCATTTCTTGATGGATATATCACTTTCTTTTTTCTCTCTTCAAGATGGACAGTAAATTGGCAAAACATAACAGACTATTTAGAGAAAAATTTTCATCACGAATTTCAGGATTCAATAATTAGAAACACTTATTTCAAGAATAAGAATAAGAATAAAACTGGAACTGAAATTATCAAACTAAAAACAGAGGGTAATGCTTAAGGTATAAACGGCCAAACTGGTCCAAATCGAAAGTGTATTTTGATCATGATAACATAAAAGAGCCTGTAGAGTGATTTTAAAAGTTTGTTTTGATTACAAATGCCCTTGTGATTCAAAAATACATATGGTTATTGGCATATTTGTTTCAATTGTATATACTGTGAAAATTCGTCTGTGTACAAATATGAACGTGTAAAAAGATGCAATAATTGAAGGTATTATATAAACGACGATTTCAAAGATTTGCCCGTTATCCTAACCTGTTGTCTTTTTTCATATAATTGTGCGGCTAGATCAAAATGTTTTGCCATTTCTAGACATTTTGCGGCCTCCTTGGTTTTTCTTGCTTCTAAAAATTTTAAAGTTGCTTGATAAAGTTCGCTTTTCCTACGGGGACTATTTTGAGATTGAAGGCTAGCAATTCTGTAATGTTGATACGCATGTGCTATGGACTCCTTTCTTGAATCGCCTGCAGTATTAAAACATTGTGCAGCCTGAGTATACATCTTCACTTTCATGAATTCTTCTCCTTTATCAATCCATTCTCTTGGTGTAGACTTTCTTGTAAAAGCTGAAAATGCAGAATACAGTGAATTGATTACACAGAAACTAACACAGATCCGCCATCAACACATAACCCTCCTTATAACAAAAAAAAAAACCCCATTGAGATGTAAAGTAAGACAATAGTTGACGAGATTCTCGACTTAGGCAGGTGTATAGTTATGTGGCGGGTTTAACTAGTCTTTTATGATCTCAACTATCAAATCTCAAACTCAATTAATGGACCACAAGCGGCACACAAGAGAACCTACAACAAATACCAGAGCAGTAAAAACACCTAACACAACGACGACACTGACAGTCAAAATTAGACAGCAAAAACGTATCAACAAACTGTACCGCATCGAAAAAATGATCAAAAGTACGGAGAGCAAGATTAAACCACTTTACCTGCTGATATTAAATTTTACGTACAATGTATAATGTGTGTCATGATTTTTATATTTTATCATTTGCTCTGTCACTTTATTACTTTCACTGTGTCGATACCGATGCATAGACTGTAAGTCCCCGAGAACATCACCAGTCTAACAGCCAGTACTTCGGTACTGTCATCAAAATAGTGTCTTATTAAGATTTACCGTTACAAAGGTTTGGAACTTATTTTGAATTAAGGAATATATCTCCCTCATGCAAAGCTCTGATAACTTGCACGGCTTTTTTTTGTACTTTTTTTTCCTTTTTGATTTATTAGCTCTTCATTTTGTTTTATAAGTTTTGAATTTTCAATTACTTTGGCTGCGAGCATTACTGACGATACTTTTATTGTTGAAATGCGCACCTGGTGCAGTACAAAAGGTACCGTTAATGTTGTTTCTGCAACTGGGTCGATACCTCTGCTGGTGGATATTGAGTCCCCGAGGGTATCACCAGCCCAGCAACCAGTACTTTGGAACTGGCAAAAAATACGGATATTGTGTTATTTAAATTTGTTGTTAAACAATTCTGGAAATTAGTCTAAATCAAGGAATAAATGTCCTTCTTGCAAAGCTATGGTTACTTGCACGGCTTTGGCTATACTTTTTTTCTTTTTAATTCACAAGCTCTTCAGTTTATTTATAAGTTTTGAATTTTCAATAACTTTGGCCTCGAGCATCACTGAAGATATTTTTATAGTTGAAATGTGCATCTGGTACAGTGCAAATGGTACCGTCAATTTTGTTATTCCAACAGGGTCGGTACCGTTAATGTTGTTTCTGCAACTGGGTCGATACCTCTGCTGGTGGATAGTTAGTCTCCGAGGGTATCACCAGACCAGTAACCAGTACTTCGGTACTGGCAAAAAATACGGATATTGTTATGAAAATCTAATGTTACACAATTCTGGAAGTTATCCTTAATCAAGGAATAAATCTCCTTCATGCAAAGCTCTGAACCCTTGCCCAGCTTTGGCTACAAGTTTTGAATTTTCCAATAGTTAGAGTATATAATTTTATAATAGAATGGTTTTCATTTCCAATGATATTAACTAGAAATTCAGTGTTTATGTATAAGGAGATTACAAGCCAAAGATTCATCAACTCAATGACACAAACAATCAAAGGACACCCAAAGGCCAACATGTAGTCGTTAGCAATTAATAGGTGCCTCCAAACTATACAAAGCTTTTAACCACCCTTAGTTTACAAAGTTGTGAACAAACTAATAAGACCATCAAAGATCTACAATCAATATAAAACTTTCGACACAACAAACAAATCCAATAATTATATAAGACATCCACGTGTAATATTTCATATTAAGCTTACACCACTTTCATATATTATGAAGCATAAAAAGAGATACATAACCATCCCAACTACCCTATATTTAGTTTGTGCTATCCAACCTTCTCCCACCCAGGGTTGATTACGATGAGTGTTTTTTTTTTCTTCAAAATATACAAAATACTGATCTAACATTTCACTTCCTTATCTTCTGCAACAACATCAACAAGATTAAGAGCCTTGAAGTATTCGAATATTGGCCTCCTTTGTTCCTTGTCTTCATCAAATATCCAAACATTTTGCCTGGCTCTTGTAATTGCTGTGTATAGCTGCTTTAATTCAGAATTTAATACTTTGTGTTGTTTCGGATTAAAAGGCAAAGATCGTAAATCTGAAATGTTTAAAAAAAACCATTGAAAATAATTTACATATAAAATATCTTAAAAGCTTTAAAGTCAAGCTTGCATTGTTTAGCATTGCAATGACACATTTGTGCTATTTTATAAAGGTTACTGTACAACTATTAAGGAATTATGTCTTCTCGTAATTTCTGTAGTTTTTGCTCTGAATCTCGTGCAAAATAATATATGTTTCGGGATAATAGTGCTCAATATAAGTTTAACCTATATTGTTGAAAGAAATTATATGTTTGAACATGGACTTTGAAATTTCAACCTTTAAAGGGGCATTAGCTACGAATTTGACAAACAATTGAAAAAAAACCGTTATTTTTTTTTTATTTCAAACATTTATAAAAGCGGAATATAGAATTAATATTTCGCTATTAGCAGTCAATTTGGTTCAATTTCGTCAAAATGAGCCCAAAAACCCATCGCTAATGTATTGTTTGCTTGCAAGTCAATAATTTAACTCATTTGAATCCGTATTCATGGAACCTTTTAATTTGACCTTAAGTGAAGATGGGTGCGCATGTGTTCATCATATAAAAAAAATAAGAAAAATATGTTAACACTGAAAAGTAAAACAAGAGAGTCAACAGGAATAACAATTTCGTTCACTGATCCGACCAACAAAAAAAAATCATTCTTATACGGGAAAAAACGATGATTTATATATTTTTTTATTCTAATCATGAAATCAGACCTATAAAAATCAGATTGAAAGTGCTTGCTATCTATTTATATTGATAGTTATGTTTATTTCGGGTTGTATGATTGTCCGCAGTCTTCGGGGGTCTTCTTGATAGATAACTAGATGGCCCATGCTTTATTTATTGTTTCTGTTGGATGTTTTGTATTTTTGATATACGTTTTAGTATGTTACAAATACAGTATGAGAATTTTGGTCAAGTCAGTGAACATGAATTTGACAGACAATGCCCCTTTAATCGGTATACTACATTCATATTTATTCTCAATGGTTTAAACCAAATTGGTTGCCCTACATATTTGTACGTTTTCCAAAGTAATCAATATTGACATTGCTATGTTTTGTTAAATAAATTATTAATTCCATTCATTGCTTACATTTTAAGCACACATAATTAAATCACGCAGATGATTTTTTTTTATTATTTAATACACCAATTACTCAAAACTATTTCAGTGACAATATTTCCAGAAATGTTAAGAAATATTTAGATAAAACAAACAAAAAGCTTGATATAATGCGAACTTTCCTGGTTTCAGCATTAGAATGTAATCATAAGAATTGACTGCCTGTTTTACTTGTTGTTTTATAGGGTGGTAAAAGCGTAGACCATGCGATACTTCTTAGTGTGTAGAGCGGAAACAATTCATACAAAATATGATTGGGTAAACGCTTTTATTCCCCAATTAAGCTATAAAAAGGAACAATAGATTCTGAATAAGAAAGCGACAGCTTAAATAGTAAAGACATCTTTTCTTTAAATAGCTACAAAACAACTAAAATCAATCAATATGCTAAACTTTGTTGGAGAGTGCTTATATCGCCCCTTCGTGTGTATAATAGTTGCTTGTGTTATTGACTTATATCCTCATCTTTTTTGTCTTCCCTTTTTTGGTAAAAATGTATTCATTGTATTTACATATTTAAAAATACATACATATTTTTATGTTAAGTGCGTTTCTTTCTTTACCTGCTGAAATTTGCAAAGTTGGTTTTGTTTCATTCTGCGAGTCTTTCTGTACAAGCTTTTCGAGAAACGATAAAACAACCCTCCATTCCTTTGTAGCCTGAAAAATATGCAACTATGTTAACGGAATTAAAATAAAAACATCAATATTTGTACAGCAAATGACTATTACTAATTTATAATAACTAGAACACATCCATGACAGTGCGGACCCGTCATTGAATTGAATTAGTACGTAAGTACGTCTATTTGTAGCCGGGATGTTTAGTATTCGTATTGTCATCTGTTGAAGTCTCGCAGTCAATTAGCTAGAACGTTGTGCACGATGTTCCTACAACACGACGTTACACCAAAAATGGGACGTCAAAGAGTGTTTTCTCAAATTTTGACGTCGATTAATTAAATTTGTTAGTTTCATTCGTTTTTTTTTTTATATGTTATGGGTTGATTCTGTCTCTGTTATTTTTGTGATGTATTTTTACCATGAATTACCTCAAGTTGTAGAAATCGATTAACAATGTTTACCCTTAATTCCCCTTAATATGCTGTATTGTCGTAAATAATGTAGGAAGGCAAAATGGGACGGAATTATTAAATATACAGTTTTCCATAAATAGATTAAAACATAATTTTAGAAGAACAAAACTTTAATCACAGGCTGCTTAAATTTTATGGTGCATATCAAATGTCATTGTAAATTTTCCATATCTTGATTCAACCCCAATACAAATATATTCGACAATCTGCAAGTAAATCATTTTTTTTACCCTTGATTAATTTGAAATGAATTGTACTTTCCTTGACACACAATTTGTCGAAATACAGCCCTTCAATTATTTGAACCCCAGCTTCAAAATTATTTCCCCAGTCATCTATAGTTTCTTGCTTAAGTTTTCTAACGTCTGATGTACTTTTTAGATTTTAGAAATCTTCTCCTGGATCGTCCGTAAAAACGGGTAATACAATCCCGGGTTGTATTATTCCAATGAAACTGTTTTCGTCGATTTTTGCAATTAGTCTTTCAGTCACCTCCGTTTCATGCACCAGTTTATTTTGACGAAAAGGTCCGGCTTCGCTAGTACATGAATTAGTTTCAGTATGACAGTTATAACATGAGTAGCAGGACAAGTCGCGAACTAAAACTTTTCGAGTACTTGTACTTTATATTTGGTGAATGTACCTTACTGAAGGGGCGACTTAAAATGATTTATATCTATTTTAGGGTACTTCCGCAACATAACGAAAAATTCGCCTTTAATATATAGAGGACTGTCTTGGTGTCTCCAAATTGTCTTTGCAAAAGTTGAACATATCATTCGCATTCTGATTCAAACATTTGCCTCTAGCAACAATAAATCACTAAGAGCTAAAAATGGTTATAAAATATCAAAATTTAATCTGTGTCGAATCTATGTTCCGAGTTTGTCAATATGCACTATTCTTTTTTCGACAGCCTTCAATATCTTTTTCCAAATTTCACCGAACGATTTGTTTTAATTATCAGGAACATTTAATTGAAACAAATTTAGCACATGCAACGTCGGAAATAATCGTTTTTCGGACTTTTCGACGTTTTCACCGATTTGGACAAAATGACTACCGTTTTGTAATGTTTCGTAGCATTTTATTCCTTTCAGACCCAAACATGTAGTTAATAAAAAACAAATCTAGGCATTGTGTACTCTTTGTGTATCTAACTTTTGTTTTTATAAATTATAAATAACTTATTGAAATATCAGGTAAAAAAACCCGCATTAATTGCTTTGACAAATGAAATATCAACTTGGACAATATGACTACCGCTTGAAAAACGACTGTAAAGAGAAGATTTTATAGAATCTACAATATTTGAACTCACGAACAATGAGGCAAATATTTGTACTATTAGTAGATGTTATTACGTTCTTACAATTTTTAGACATTTTCTGCTATATCTACATATAAAATACACTTTCAGTCGTTGAGTCAACGAAAAACGTCGTTGGACATTTTTCTTATTCCAGCTTAATATGCAGCCGCCGAGTCAAATGAAATTTGACAAAATAATGACTTAATTATCACAAAGAACCGACACATGTTGTTGTTCTCGCCAAGTTTCAGGAAGATCAGAGAATAAGAAATAGGATCACTATACAAAAGAGTTAAAACAGTTGTTCAAAAATGTAACGTTGGACATCCGTTTTTTCACATATAGCTATGTTGTTTTAATCCTCAAATATACTAGATATTACTAAGCATATGACCAAGAGCTATAAGAACATTATTGAAAACATATACTAAATTTTTTTATATAGTGGTTAGTGTTTGCTAACATTTTGTTTTGTTTTGCGAAGGAAATGTCGAAGATTATTTTTTAAATCCTATGGGTTGTAGGAACAGCGTGCGTAACGTGTAGACAGTTTTCTCTGTTTCGATAGCTTTCTGTCTGAACCCGTCTGTTCTTGATTTCCTACTTTTTTTTATAAATATTAAAATTTTATCGTGAGCAGCCAGGCGGGTGTCAGAGTGCAGCAGATATAGCTTATCCTTGTGGAGGACCTAATTGCTTCGCATCACGATGCGAAACTATTAGTTTCATACGATATACCCGCCATCTTTAAATAATTACGTAACAAAAGTTAGTTCTGATTGGTTTCCAGATTATTTTGCTAAGATTCTATGGGCGGAAATCGGTTGTAGAATTGAGAATTCTTACGAAAAGGAGAAGAAATTATACAAGGATGTATAGCATTATGGGTGTCCGAGACCTGATAGATGAATTTAATTGCTATATATCTCGGGAAATACATTGTTGAATAAGTGCATACGTATCATTTTACCGGAGCTTTTTATAGCTTATTATACACCATGGGTTTCGCTCATTATTGAAGGAAGCACAGTGCCTTATCGTTGTTTACATCTTTGTCTTTTGGTCGCTGGTGAATAGTTTTTCCATTATCACAGCTCCTTATGTTTATACTCTCATACGCATAGTTGAAAATATACATGAATAAATGTATGTATGTGCTATTAATCAATCAATTTTTAAAAGAACGGAAAAATAAATGTGTTACCCCCCTTTTTTTAAAGCAAAATAATCATGAAAAACTCAGATGACTAACAATATTCAATGAATTATTACTTAAAACGACAATCATTACCTCTGAATCGGTGAATATGTTGTAAAGCAAAACATCATCAAATTCTAATCCTTTTGCTTCGTATAATGTAAGAACAAGTCCACTTTTCATTTCATCTGGAATGTTGTTACGTGCTTTATCATTAACCACTAAAATCGCTTGATGTGCACCAAATTCAATTTTCGATGTTTCTCTATGGTTTTCACACAATATGAGACTTAGCCAATTAGAGGAAACAGTCTCAAGAAGAACTGGTTTTGGTCCTTTAAAAAGACACTGATCATTCGGAAGACTGTCAAAGGAATCGGGAAACAAGTCCTTTAGTATGTCAAGTACGCTTGTGGCCAAAGCTGTAATTCCTGAATGTGACCTATAGTTGTGAGGAAGCTCATATATACGATCTGGTTGAACAGAAACGCCGATAGTTTTAACCTAAAAATTTGCAAGCTCAGATTAAAATGTCTTTATTTGGAAGTCTCGTATGCTATTTATACTTTAAAAAAAGTCTCAATGTCAATAATGGTAATGTTTCAAAAGTTTTGGTATAACAATCATATGCTTCTTAAAAAGACAACGATAGCAGGTAACTTTAAATTGAGATAGGGAAAATTATGCTTTAGTATTCATATTAAGAAAGAACGTATCCGAAACCGATATCTTTAGAAGGTTAGATTTTTTTGCAGACAATTAGCCTTCAGATTGGAAGAAATTGCATATTATTCCTTGTTACTGTTTTCGCATCAAAGAGACTTCATTCAAGGGCTTTAACACAAATTGAAATATAATGAAAAATATAATATCAGACAATACTTTCAATTAAATAAAAACATACTGTCTAAGAATAACCATAAGTTTTACAATCACATACATAGATTAATTTCATTTCCTTTTTTTCCTTGGTTGATAATCATATCAGATTTCTATATTTTCTATCAAACTATCATTGTCATTACAGAAACGTTTAACACTTAAGTTTACATTAATTTCAGTTCAAAATGTATAATAGTGCATGAATATAACATTCGCTCCTTTTCCTGTTCTGGTATTTCAAGATATAAATTGGTTGAAATGCACAAGAAATTACTAATTAAGGGGAGCTAACTCTGTAATTTGCTATCATTCTTACCTAAAGTTATCTAGAGATTTCTTGAATTACCAGACACGCAGAAACAAAAGATCTACCATTTCTAACTCAGGACGAGGGTTACTTCAAAATAGGATGGTTAAGTTGGTGGTTTTTTTTCGGTCATGTTTTAAAATTTTTCAAAATTGCCTGATTCTTACAAAGACTGGCACTTAATGCTCGAAATTTCTGTATATTGACGTATACTCCATCTCCTTTTATTCATATACTGTGTTATTTGTCACAACACTGGCAATGCACCACATTGATTACTACATATATGAGTTAAAGGAGATCTGGGGTATACGTCAATGAAACAACAACCTAACGACACGAACAACAAAAAGACATCTAGAAGTCAACATAAATTTTAAGTATTCATCCCATATAAACAGGACTGCCAAACATAAATTTTCTTTTCACCTGGCATTACTATCCTCAATCGACGTTCCTATATAATTTTAACTTATTAACATAAATTCTTATTTCATTAAAACTTTAATGTTTCCGCGAAGTTGTCAAACGTAAAAAAGATATATGAATTTTAATGTCATTTTCATTAATTTTTTTTATTTCAAAATTTATCAAATGGATGCGGTTTTTTGTTAAGGCAAAGAATCCCAAGTCTAAGTGCTAGACATACAATTTACATCAAACAGTTTGTCGGATTTTTTTATTTTGAAATTTAAATTTAAAACTCACTGATAAGTCCTTACTGGCGTAGTGGAAAAGACTGACTAGATCTTTAAACCGGAAGGATATTCCCTTCATGATACTTTGAGCTGTGTCGCCAGTCACAAACATACCATGTGGACTTTCACAAAGTTTGATAAGTAGAAACAGTTCAGCCTGGGCAAAGTCCTGAGCTTCATCAACATATATTTCATTCACTTTCCATTTTGGATTTTTTTGCTTGCGAAATCTTTGATACAAATTTCGGACTAGATCTGTTTGATCGAACATTTGTCTGTTTTGTCGAATATGTTCATACTCAAGAAAAAAATTGTAAAGTATTTCTCTCTCATCGATGAAAGCAGGTGCTTGTTTCTTTCCTATTTCAAAATATCTATTCTTATTCAAAAATCCTCCGTCATAAATTGCCTCATAAGACCCTTTGATAATAGACATTATTTCTGTCCAAACTAATGACGGATGATATTTCCCTTTATACTTTTTAAATTTTCCAATAATGCGAGGCCAAATTATATCTTCGAATACCTCATAGGTCACTTCTCGCCTCGGATCAATTTTCTTCATACGAGTTCTCTTGTTTTCACCGAGAGTTATATGTAGATCCAACTCTTCTTCCTCTTCGTCACTATCACTTTCATCACTATACTCGTTATCAAATTCATCATCTAGAATTGTTTGCATATCATCATTGTCCGTCCATCCTTCTATTTCAGACTTTAAACTCCCGTCAATATGTCTATCAAAATAGTATGGAGGCCCTAATGTAGCATCAAGCATTAACAAAAAATGTTTATCGGTAATAAAGACTGGGTACTGAAGTTTTTTTATATCCTGAAAACGATTTGGTAAATCGTCATCTTTCATTTTGAATAGTCTATATGTCCTTTCATCCCCATCTATAAAACTTTTAAACATTTTGTGGACTTCCCTCCGAAGCACACCATTTTTTGTGATGAATATTTGGCGTAATTCATCGTCATTGTTCTCACAGCTCATCGAATCCTTGACATCTTCAACGTCACTTGGTAATGAAATTATTTTATCATTTTCATGCGAGGGACCTTCATTGAAGTTTATTTCACTGGTACTTTCAGTATTGCATCGATTACTTGCGTCCTCTTCGGAAGCAAAAGAACTTTTGTCAAAGCAAGCTTCACTGCCATATCCATTCGTTTCATGATGAATTCCATGAATTTCAGCATGTAAGTTTTCATCTATGACGTGGTCATTCATTGATTCGTGTTTACCAGGAACACAAATGTCTATTATATCATCCTTCTCCTCTGGAAACAAAAGACCAATTAATACTTCAGACAAATATTGTAAATAAGAAGACATTTAAATTCTTATTTTTTTACACTGTTGGTTTGCTATATGTATATACCAATTGCACAATATATCATTATATGACACACCTTTATAAAGTATTGTGCATGTGGTAATATGCTTTTGGTATTCTGTTATGCCAATATAATTGCATTGAGTGGTTTGACTAGTTTGATATCTATTGTCCATTTTTAATTTTATCTAATGTTCTTCCACTTACCTGGAAAAGCTAAAGAGTTTTATATCTGAACTTTAAAAAAAAAACAATGTAAGTTGTCGTTTGTTGGTGTGGTTCATAAGTGTTTCTCGTTTTTCGTTTTTATATAGATTAGACCGTTGGTATTCTTGTTTGAATTGTTTAACACTAGTCTTTTTGGGGCCCTTTATAGCTTGCTGTTCGGTGTGAGCCAAGGCTCCGTGTTGAAGGCCGTACTTTGACCTATAATTGTTTACTTTTTACACATTGTGACTTGGATGTATAGTTGTCTCATTGGCACTTATACCACATCTTCATATTTATAAATTCATAGCGCAACCTGTGTAGTCAGTTTAAATTATCAGTCTAACTAATAGAATCAATGTGAACTCCGTTTGTTAGCAGCTACAAAACTAACAGTTTCTTTCATATTTATCTTTAGTCAATTTTTGATTGATAACATATTCTCTCTCTCACCTCTAAATATTCGTAAATCGTGTAAATTATGAGTTTATAAGAGCGTGTAAATGTATTTAAGTCACTTTGGTTAGTATTACTGTAGCCCCCCGCAGGACACGAATCCTACTTTTAAAAAATGCTGCATAATTTTACTATATTTTCCTGATAATACATTCAATTGGTAATCATTGGTCCACTCGTTTCTCAATGAGTTTAACTTACACTACAAACCAGTAAAAGTCTGAAATGGCCTATATCTGTATTCGACTATACTGATTTTTACTCGACCAGTCTGAATTGGTCGGAATTTTACTCGATATTATTTGACCCCAATCTTAACCATACTCGACTGTACTGATATGTACTTGACCCTTATCTTTGCCATTGAAAAAAGCCTGAACTATTATTGGACCAGTCTGAAACAGTCTTAACCCATTCTCGACTTGAACTCGACCAATACTCGACCAGTTCTCTACCTTTTTTTCAGTCTGAACCATACTCGACCAAAGGTCTGAGCCAAACTTGACCAAAGTCTGAACAATACTCGACCAATCTGAACCATACTTGACCAAATAACCTCTACTTTATTTTCATTTTAACTGTTTATATGACAACATGACAACAGCCACAATAAAGTAAAGATATATTTATAGATTTTTACATCCTTACATGATTATCAGATTTATCAAATCAAGATAGTCAAATTATCTAATTTGAAAGTCTGAGTCTTGGTAAAAAAAAAAAGATTTTCTTTTACCTGAAAAACCCACCTGTACTGAGGGAAATAAAACCTTTAAAGGTGCTTCTTGTTTGCCATATGGGTTTTTTTTAACAAAACTTAATTCACCTAAATTCTTAAATAAAAACTACATAGGTTTCATGGTTACAAACGGAAGTTATATATTTGATTGATAAACGGACAGAAAGTCACAAACTTGATAGGACAAAAAGTCACATGACAAAAAGTCACAAATAATTGTTTGAATATATATGAGAAAGATCTTGAAATATTTTCTTTTTATTACATATATTCATTTTACAGTTTAGGAAATTGTTCATTAGCCTTGATAAATGAATATTTATAAAATTTTAATCATGCAAAGAGTAAATAACAAAATAACCGAGGAAAATTCAAAACGGAAAGTCTCTAATCAAATGGCAAAATCAAAAGCTCAAACACATCAAACGAACGGATAACAACTGTCATATTCCTGACTTGGTGCAGGCATTTTCTTATGTAGAAAATGGTGGATTTATTTCTTGGCACCATGAAGCCCTTTAAGTACCAAGCCACTTTGACATTTTGTTTTCTTAACAATTATTTGATCATTATTGATATTTTTTAAATAAATTTTAATTTTACAAAGTTGCTTTATATATAATGGTTTAAGAAAAATAGTTTTCTTATTCAAAGAAAAATAATCTCAAAACTGAATTGTGACTTTTGTCCTGTGACTTTTTGTCCGTGACTTTTTGTCTCTGACTTTCTGTCCTACATTCATTTTTTTCACTATCTTTTTAACTGACGTAACAACAGCCAATAAAATCACTGAAATTGTTTAACCTTATATCAGAAATATATTTATTCTTATTATAATTTGGCATATATATATATATCTAAAAGGGATAAAAAATTAAAGAAAAGATTAAAATCATGAATATTGTTCTTCAGATTAGGGGGTAAACTATAAAGTTATACCTCCTGCTTGGGACAAACTCATTAAAAAAAGCACTCCTGGTCAAAGAGTAATACATTTTAAATAACATCCTTTGAAAATTAAACAACATCCTGTAAAACTTAAATCACAAGGCCTTTTGAATTCACTAGAAAAATAATACATGAGTTTAGAGAAAAAAAGGGTTTTCTTTTTACTTGTAAAAGACACCTGTACTGAGGTAATTAAACATTATAAAGGTGCTTCTTGTTTGCCATGTCTTTTATTTTGTCAAAACTTAATTAATCAACCTAAATGTTTTACTACAACTTTGGAACACAATTCCTTTTTTAAGGTTATCAAGGATTGCTATGGAAGTTCTATAATATTAAATTCTTGGTTTTACCAAAACAATGGTGTCATCTTTAAATTTTATTAAGTTGCTTTATATAAATTAAAAAAAAATGTTCACTGCGTTATTAACTAAACTTGACTGGCACCATAAATTTATACCAGGCTTAAGTTAGTGTCGAAAATTTTCCAGTAACCATAAAATATATCTGAAACATTTGAAATATTTTGAATACCATTTAAGATATTTGAATAATGGACGAAAGTTTTAGTATTTTTGATGTAGGCCTACATAATGCAATGCGAACATGATCATGTATATAAAATTCATTTTAAGTATTACATGATATTTTTTTAATCCGACTAGAAATCACTTCCTTTGATCATCTTGTTTTATTTTTATTTTAAAGGTGATATACATTGTGTATATATATATATATAAGTGTTGATGATTATATTATGTTTATTGTGAAATTTTGGTTTTAATACCATATTAAAATACATTTTGGATTTCAAAGTGTTGTTCAAATTTCTAGCTAAGGGAAATAGCTGTTTTTTTAGAATAGTTCCTAAATTGATGAAATACAATAGATAGATACAGAAATAGGTCTAGGTTTAGTTAAGACTTGGTCGAGTAAGGTTCAGACTAGGTCAAGTATGGTTCAGACTAGGTTGAGCATGGTTCAGACTTGATCTAGAATGGTTAAGACTTGGTCGAGTATTGTTCAGACACGTATAAAATGGTTAAGTACTAGTCGAGTAAAGGTCGAGTACAAGTTCAGACTGTTAATAGATATAAGAAGACGTGGTATGAGTGCCAATGGGACAACTCTCCATCCAAGTCAAAATTTATAAAAGTAAACCATTATAGGTCAAAATACGGTCTTCAACACGGAGCCTTGGCTCACGGTTTAGACTACAGTCGAGTAATATCAAGTAAATTTCAGACCAATTCAGACTGGTCGAGTAAAAATAAGAAGTCGTGTACAGTTATAGGCCATTTCAGACTTTTACTGGTTTGTACTGTTACATACATAATCCTTTATTATATTTTCAGATCAAAATTGTAAAAGTTTTTCGAAACCTGTGCTCTCGGTCATAATACTTTACTCAGTATTCGGAATAAGAGATTTGTTCTCAAAATACCAAATCCAGCATTTAATTGGTTGATTTCTGTCTGAGTCTGAGTACGATAATCGTGTTCGAATGTTTTATGACCGCAAGACTTGTTGTAGACATCGTCTTTTTTTCAATTTTTCTAGTAGTGGAATGTCTTGCTATTTGTTGACAATGTAATGATTGATATCCTATCTGTACTTCTTCTTCAAATTCAAGAAAGATTATATCAATCTTACAATGAACTCGTTAAAATAGACTATTTTAAATATTCTTATTGTTTTTTGATGCCATGTGAAATATGCAATCCACCTTAAATGATAACTTACTGGCCAATCAGCTTTCTTATTATGAAAGATTTGAGGTATACGTAAATGAGACGGTTACTGAAAATCACAATGAAAAAAAACCAAACAAACAAAAACATGAAAATATGACTTTCACTTTTGATAAATGAAAAGAATGTAGTATTATGAACAATGTAATACAATTTAATCCAGGAATATCAGTTAAATGTCAATATGATGTCAATCATATGCTGAAATTGTAAAATTTGACCTAAATTGATCATTATAGCCAAATTTGGCAAATTAGATATGAGCTACAACATTGTTGAAAATAGATATTTTTGATCTGTCACTAAATAATTCAAAATTTGGTTACTATGTTGAACGCATCTATCCCATCGAACTAGAGATAAAGGATACAACATATACAGTTAATTCTGCCTCGTATCTTGACTTACATCTAGAAATTGACACTGAATGTCGGTTGAAAACAAAACTTTACGACAAAAGAGATGATTTCAGCTTCCCAACTGTG